ATAATATATTCATATATCTTTGGTTTTTGATAATGGTTCCTGGCCCACAACTCCAAAACTGGAAATTTCCAGAGTCAGTAAAAGCAACAGGAGCATCTTTTGTCAAATTTGTCTCTTGTCCTCAGTTCCTGGAATCACTTCAAAGCCATCAAGGGGAAATGGGTGTCTCTTTATTCATAGCCAGCCCCTTCCCACCACAGCAGGGTCTGTGTTAATGGGGTGCTGTCTGGAAAGCACCTAAGGATGGGGCCTGGTCCCTAGGGGAACGACTGTGTGACTAGAGGGCTGGGACCCAAGGTTCCTCCCCTTCATCTGAGGAGGGGAGAGCGGATGGAAATTGAGTTCCTTCACCAACGGCCTGAGATTTCGTGGTGCAAATGTAATGAAGTCTCCATAAAGCCCCCAAAGGACAGGGTCTGGAAAGCCCCTGGGTCAGGGAATACACGGAAGTGTGAGGAGAGCGGCGCACTTGGAGGGGCTCAGAGGTCCCGGGCGTCGCCCCGTGCCCCGCCCCGTGTGCCTCTTCCATCCGCTGCTCCTCAGTCATCTGTTACAATAAACCAGTATCTAGAAAGGAAGGTGTTTCTGTGCTCTGCAGGCCACTCTAGCAAATTAATCAAACACAAGGAGGAAGGGTCCTTGGAACCCGCCACCTATGGTGGGTGAGTCGGAAGCACAGGTGACCGCCTGAGACCGCGACCATGGCCTGAAGGAGGCAGTGGGGCCGGGGGCAGTCTTGTAGGACTGAGCCCTCAGCCTGTGGGGTCTGCTGCGGTCCCCAGGCACACAGTGTGGGAGTCAAGCTGAAGTCTAGGAACCTGTCCTGTGTCCAGAAAATGGCCTGTTGGTGCGGGGAGCCCCTCCCCACTGTACACAGATTGGCACTGGGTGCCACACCCAAATCATCATTTCATTGCCATTCATATTTTAGCATTATTTCATTCACATGCACAAATAATCTTAAAATTTATTTTACATATACAATTAGAACTTATACCTTCTGATAATTTTGATAGATTCCTTTGAATTTTCCAATAACAGACTTAAAACCTACAAAATTAAAAATACTTATTTCCTTTACTTACTTACAATCATTTTTACTTCTCAACTGTCATCAGAAATTTTTAATGTTAACTGAGGCTTTCTTTTTTTAATAAGACAATGTCTGTCAAATTAAGCAATTTAAAAAAATTTTCTACAAATCTTAATATGCAGTTTTTAAGAACAAATGGAAAGAACAACACACAATTAAGTATTAGAAATTCAAATATTGAATAGAGCAGCAACCTATGAATGGGAGATAGGGTGCCCCCTGTGTGGGGAATGAGGACTGGGGTGGGACTGGGGTAGGGCGGCCCCTGGGTGGGTGGGGGGGAATGGGGACTGGGGTAGGGTAGCCCCTGGGTGGGGGATGGAGATTGGGGTAGGGAGATGGGGAGAGCGGTTCTGATGGCAGGGCTGATGGCGTCCAGCAGAGGAGTAGGTGGCAGGAACCCACTGTCCCAGCTCGCTCCCAGTGCCTGTGCTTTTCCGACTGGAAAAGAGGAGTGCAGTCCCACAGCCAGCCGGTCAAGGAATGGAAGCTGGCTTCCTGCATGACTGCCTTTGAAGAACTACAGTCCTTTTCCTTTCTGCCATTCCAGCGTCAGGTGCTTGTGGCTAGCACGGAGCAGGCACCATGGGCACAGGGCTGTCCGGGGCCGTGTCACCACACACCCCTGGCCGCAGGAGTTTGTTCACGTGAGCCAAAAAGGGCCAGTCGGAGCGCCTTACCCCAGCCCAGAAACCCCACACGCCCTGACCGTGGCGGTAAACCCCTCGGACCGGGGCTTCAGGCGGCTGCGGGCAGGAGCGTACGCACTGTGTGCGGAGCTGTGAGGACCGAGGCATCAGCACCGAGCCCCACCCCAGAGAGGGAGCTGGATGGATGGGACGAAGCCGCCGCAGAGGTGGAAGCCCCGGTGGCGGTCCGTCTCTCACTCCTGCCCCTCCTGGGCCAGCTCACACCTCGCCTTCCCAGGATTCCCCAAGGTCAGAATGTGAAGCCAGTGAAGTCACCATTTGCTCAGGCGAACCTGTCACTTGCTTATTCATAACCCAAGGAACCTTGGGTTGCACAGCCAAAGGTCAAGTTTCAACTGCTCCTGGAGTTCATCTTTCTCACCCCTGGAACTCCACTGGGATGTCGGGGACAACCAGCAGTGACTCTACTGCCACAGAGACAGGCGATGTCCTTCTCGGTCCCCAGAGGCTGCCAGGCAGCAGTGGCTAAATGCATATGGGCTCTTGAGCCAGGAGGTCCTGGTCCAACCCCAGCTCCAGCTTTACTGGCTGGGAGATCAAAGCCCAGTGGTGACACCTGGAGAAAGTGGCCTGTTTACATGGGTTCTCTTTAAATGGGAAGCCCTTTTTGGGGGCTTGTGTGTTTGCAAGCCACCTAGCTTTGATTGTCCCCAGTTGTGGGCTCCCCCAGCATGCTCCCAGAACACATTCCTGCTGTGTCACACGGGGCGTCTCTCCTCAGCCTCTCCTGCCTGCCCTGCTCCCTCCTGCAGGGTCTCCGCCCCTGACCCGGGAAGCTATAGCCCTGAGAACACCAACACACCAACACGGGGGTGGCCGCAGCCAAGAGCAGACACAGACGGAGGGAGATTAAGGGCAGAAAAGAGAAGTTTGTTGGGACTGTTAGAGCTTCCAAGGAGAGAAATATTAGTTCTTTACTGGTATAAATTATCCTTTTTATTTGGTTACCTGAATATTGGTATTAGACTGGTTCAGAGGAGACTGAAGATCCAATCATGAAATAAGGCCAAACTACAGAGCCAAGAGCCCCCCCTGTGAGCGAGGACCCTTTGGCCCAGCTAACAGATAGGTGGGCACCCTTGCACCTGGCTGACCTTAGGGCAGCCTTATCGGTCAGAGTGCCCTCAGAGCCACCCTGACGGTGGCACCACTCCCTGCGTGGAGTGCTATAAAGAAGTGTTTCATAATGCCAGCTACTCTGGAGTCAAACCACGTTATGCAGGTTTATGACACCTGAGTCATTTCCCAGATGGAGGACACCTTTGACCTAAAGCCATTCATCAGAGTGTCTCCAGAGCCTCTCCCTTCCCAGCCACACACGCGTGTGCAACACAAACAGGTCTCCTTGGGCTCAGGAAGGGCACACATGGGTCACAACAGGAAAGGGAGGGAGAAGGCACAATATTTTCCCTTTTAATATTTTAAATGATGCCATTTTTTACATGTTTTCCAATTACTAAGTCCAACTGTGAGGAGCATTTTTTTTAAAGGAATTGTATTTGTACATCTTTCCTATAACTACCTCAGTATATAGTTTAGATAATGTGTGGAGTTACTTATCTGGGATTTTTATTTTCCCTTTCTTAGCATTTTCAAATCTTACATGCTCTCTTTGGATTTACTTGTGTTCTTACTCTAATGGTTGCAACAAAGAGATTTAATTTTTCCGTCACCATTTTCTGATAATTGCATAACAAACAAAATTAAAATCATCCCCAGGTGATGGAGAGCCCACCTTCTCTGGGGAACCACTCAGCCATCCCTCAGGGACAGAGGGCTCCCTGAATTCAGACCCAGAGCCCAGGCCCCAAGCCTTCAGCCAAGGGCAGCTAAAGGGAGAGATAAGGCCTCAGGTGTCAGGACTGGTCCTCAGATAGGCAGGTAAAGCAAGCTCCTCGGTGACGCAGCTGCTCAGTCCGAGGGGTTCCTTTGTAGTCGCTGTGAAATTTCGAGTGGAACTCTTACCTCACATTCCCATACTAACAATTACACTCCCAGACTGATGTGGGGTGGTGGGTGTCCTACAGCTCAACTCAGTCTGACACTACCTCCCCGGAGACAGCACCAGATCCCACAGGGTGAAGGCTGCCCTACCTCCCCCACCAGACTCTGCTTCAGGTGGCAATTCCAAGTCTGTCTTGTCACCTTGCTTCTGACACATGGTCTCCAGACTGGAGCTCCCCATGATTTCCTCCTTGGGTTTCATCGGTTTGCTGGAGTGGTTCAGAGCCCAGAGAAACATTTTACTTTAAATTACCAGTTTATTATATGAGGATCTAACTCAAGAAGAGCCAGTTGGAAGAGAAGCACAGGGCAAGGTTTGGGCAACGTGTGCAGAGCATCTGGCCTTGATGAGCCGCTCTCCCCGTACCTCCCCATGTGCACCCCTGTAGCTCTCCAAACCCTGGCCTTCTGGGGTTTTATGGAGGCTGCCCTGCATAGGCCGGATTGATTAAATCATTGGCCATTGATGATTGCTTCATTCTTCCATCCCCTAGTCCTTGGAAATCAGAGGGTAGGACTGAAAGTTCCCGCCCTCTGGTTCCCCGGCAACCAGCCCCTGTCTTTCAGTGCTGTCCAGTCGCCTCATTAACATGACAGAAGACACCTTAACTGTTCTCCTTACCCAGGAAATTCATGGTGTTCGGAGGTGGAAGCCAGAGGAACCAACCAGTGAGCAGATTTCTTGGGATAAAGCACAGCATCACATGTCCACCAGGACAGCTTCTGTCCTCTTTGCTCTAGGGCAGAGGTTTGATTCGGTTTGGTTCTGCCTGACAACTTATCACCTTAACGATTTCCATATTAACCAATGTTATGTTTGATACTATGTAAGAAAATGTGCCAAAGCTGTAAACCCAGCCTAAGCCAGTGAACCAGTATTTTCTAAAGATGTGTGCACAGTGTCACACAATCATACACTGCAGAAATATCCACCAAAATCCAAGATAACCAGTGGATTTTACTGGACAGATGTGTGTAAAATTGCAGTATTTCCAGAATCTCTCTCCTGGCCTTAGTGTATCTCCATACCAGTAGGTGTTTCCAAGGGGTGAAGAGAGGTAGTCCATCTCCATGTCAATAGGTAATTACTTGGGCAAGCAAGGGCTTATCTGGATGGAGAGGCTGGGTGGAGCTCTCTCTTCTTCAGCAGCCAGGTCTGGAGAGACACGGGATGACTGCCTGTAAGCAATAAACGGGTTTCTGCCACTTTATTTCTCGCTTTGACTGATTTCGATTTCAAAGGTATTTTGTCCCGGAATTTCCCCCAGAGTTACAACAGAGTATAAAAGTTCATTCATGTGGTTTCAGATTCCAATTGCAGCTAACCTTTAATAAATTGCCATTTATCAACTTTCAACAAAGTATTCAAAAATAATAGCCACAATTTCTTGAAAAATTATTCAAATACATCTCACTTTCCAACTAATATCTGTGCAAATTAGCTTTATTTCATATCCTTCAATAAAGATAATATATCACAACACTCTGAATGCACACATGTACATAACTCAGCTGTTTCCTATTGATTCAGACATTAGGAATTTATAAAAACTATAAAGCTACACTCTTCTTTTTGCTGAATTTTCTTTTGTTTTGGGTGATAGTTATTTTTCATGAAAAATACTATTTTTGTCAACATGTATTGGGCTTATTATTTTAAGTGACTAGGAAATGCATGGTTTTAAATTGACCTGGTTTGAATTTCTGGTAAGATAAGTACTGATAAACCGGGTGCATAGAAGCAAAGGCACCCTAGGACCTTCAATAATGTTAAGCATGAAAGGCTTTGAGACCCAAAGCTTTGAGAACCACTGTTCCAGCCATTCAAAGCTGTCCTGCTGAATGCAGGTGTACCTTCAAATTCCAAACCAAGCTCCCTACCTAAAGGGTTTATGCAAGATGACAAGAGTGTGGCCAGTTTTAGAGGAGCACATGTCCCCAGGGAGAAAGGGGGCTTCTTGCTGCCCCTCTGTACTTCAGATAGGGCAGCTTGGAAAGGCAGAGACTCTGCTGGAAGATCATTCCCACTGGGTGTTTCCGTTGGGTGTCTAGGGAATCGCCCGTGAGCCTACCATGCTTGGCTCCCAAAGAGAAGGATAGTTAATGCCGAAATCTGTCTCTGGCTGTCACACCCCCTCCTATAGCTTCTGAGTTACACTTCCAGAGAGGCCTGAATTGCTTCCCCTCTTCAAAAACAAAGCACAAACATTTTACCAGTTAGCCATTTAGCAAAATAATGATTTGTAGTATTTATAGAGAAGCTATTTACAGGAGATCCATTTATAGAAGAATGAAGTAGCTGTCACTTATTTTGGGTGAAATTCATGATGAAGAATGCTTTTTAATTTCATTCGCTGGCGTATTGTTGAGTTAATCTTCAAAATGTATGCTGCTAAAAGGGGAAAGAACAATTGGTGACTTAATGTCTAAATTTAAAGATCTGTCATTTAAATGAATTACAGTGCAACAGCCTCATTTTTAAATGAAGGGCCATCAGCAGCTCCTGGCCTCCTGTCCAGCTGGCAGACCAAGCTCCACTCCAGAGATGTGCAGATCTGTCCTGCCCCATTACTCAGATGCTGAAACACAAGGGCGAGTGCACTCTTCCCCTCAGACAGAAGGTCATTCTGATTTAAGACCTGGTGTAGACCTGGAGGTTCTGTTATCACTGAATTAACAGTAGAAGTGCACCCCCCAAAAACTGTAAGTCAATTTCTTGCTTTGGGAAATATATTTAAATAACCCAGAGGCAAACCAGTCCTGTTGTCGTATTACGGTGTGTGTGTCTGACTGTCTGTCTGTTCCCACTTAATGGCCCTAAAAATTCCTGGATACTCTGATAGTTCTCCCTTTTATTGACTTAACTTCCTTCTTTTCTCTCCCTTCATTTTATCACTTTGTTTTATTCCTTCCAATTTGTCCTTGGTAAGTCAGCCCCTAAAATTGTGCCGACATTTTCAGTTTCCAGAGGAAAACCCTGGCAGTCCCACCCCCGGCAGACTGGTCTTCCCCTCCCTACGAGCTCTGCCACCTCCCTCGTCCACTCCCCAGGTGCTGGGCAGTCCCCCAGGGGACCGTGCCTCCAGGCTGACCCACCCAGCCATTGGCCATCTATCCCTTTTATTTTGAGTCATAAAATAAGCTAGAAATATCTGTTTTAAAAAAGAAAGCCTGATACATTTTTAGTTTTTTTAGGAAGCTTGTGAAGTGACTCATGTGTTGCCTTATGATTAGCTCTAAACCTCTTCCTGATGTTGAGAAACTATGACTGAAGGTACAGGAGAAAAAAGCTATTTGCTTCTGTTCTTTATCACTGCCCATCTTTTGACCAACATCGCAAGCAAATATACTGTCTTGATAGCAATTTGTCACTTAACAAACATGGCCTTGAGATACAGCATGTACTGAATAATCATTTTTCCTAAGAAAAACACTCTTGCCTTACTACTACTCGCTGTCTTCTCAGCTTCAGAGGTGATCTGATCAGGCATGTGTTCTCTTTCATTTCACCAGTGATTTTCAGAAACTCTTATTTTGAATGAAGTAAAAATGGAAGAATTTTAAAGTTTCACTTCTGAGTGACATTCTGATTTTCTGCATTTTCTTGGGGCTCTCTCAGGAGTGAGAACAGGAACCCGCACAGGACGCTCAGCCTGCGCTCACTCCCACTGGGCTGCAGCAGCTGCCAAGCACCCTGCATGGGCAGGCCCGTGCAGATGAGGATGTTCGTGTGGGACTTGCCTTCCTGCCCTGGCACAGCCCTGCCCAAGCTTCTGCTCCCTCTAGTCGGCACAGCCCCAATGCAGTGGCTGTTGATGTGAAACATACAATGGCTTTGCCTCAGTTCATGACCCATCTAAGGGGCCTTCCGGCTCCGAGCGCCCTGCCGTGCAGGCTGCATCACTGACATATGGGACTGTGGATGGCAACCGAGTCACAGCCCAGCCTCGCCCTGCCAGGTGTAGCCTCCCTCGCTCCCTCACAGGGTTCCCGGGAGCAGCCCCAGTAAGCGTCTGCATGCAAATACCCAACTCAAAGTCTGCTTCCTGGGGAACCCCGCCTGAGATGGGGTCGTTTCAAGAGTCTGATGCCATTTTAGGAACCCTCTGAGGCAAGGCTTTAAACCCTCTACTTGCAAATCTTGCCTTACAGTTATTCACTGCACATGAGGGCAGATTTAGCTGGAACCTTCTTTAATGGAAAAGGCTTAGATGTGCCAGTACCACCCTCCTACAAGCCTGTACCTTGCCCACCAGAAGGCCTGTGGAACAGAAACGAGGTCACCCTTCCCTCTACCAGGAAGGCTGGAGCTTGGAGGCAAAAACCAGCTGCGCCTTCCAGGAGGGCCCCAGACCCTCATGCCAGGAAATATGCCCTGCCACACACGACTTTGGGTACAATTCTGGGAGAACAAGAAACTCCCCTCAAAAGCCTCCATGGATCACAGTTTAAGAGCCACTGACTTACAGGAAGGTAATAGGGCCTCTCAGTCTCAAAGCATTTGTCCCCAGCACAGGGAAGGAAGAGAACATGCTTTTTAAACATATTTTTTAAAGTCTTAATTGCTCTTGATTTGTTCAGTAGGTTTTGAATAACCAAATACCAGAGTCCACTTACATTCTCCAGTGTCAGATCCGCCCCAGGTGAACTTCCTTTTGCACGATACTTGTTCCTGGTGCAGTAGACACTGACCAGTGTGACTATCAGCATGAGGGCGAACACGGCTGCAGTGGAGGACACGGCGATAATGATGGTGTCCCGGGTGGAGCCCCTCTTCTCACACCTCTGCCCCGAGTACCACCAGTCGTCCCCTGAGGAGCACCTGCACATCAGAACGTGACTGGAGTTAGAGCTGGCGTCTCAGCCTGAAAACCTTCACCTTTAAAGGCGTGAGGTCGACATTCCGGGACACTGGCATTCAGAACTAGGGACTAGAGGGGACGGGCAGGGTGGCTGGAAAGGGGCAGTGGAATGAGGCTGATGTCACGCTCAGAGCAGCAGCTTCAGCAAGGAAAGGAAGGTTGCTTGGGTGACAGAGAGAATCTGGTTTCCAGTGTCCCATCCCCCAACCCACCCCTTGGCCAAGCTCTTCTCAGAACTTAAGTATCTCCACCTAGAAAATGCACACAGTCGCACTTAACTACCCCAGACTCTTGTGCATTCTTTTTTTTTATTAAGATATCATTGATATGCAATCTTATGAAGGTTTCTCTTGTGCATTCTTAGGACATGTAAATCATCAGCAGTTAGACTATACGTGCTATGTTTCATAAATAATTTTTAGTTCTTAAGGCCATCCAAATCCCAAATGCAGGGCAAAAACTAAAATCCTATGAATGGTTATTTCCCTCATGTATTAATCAGTATTTAATCCTAGCTGGTAGGAAGGAAGATTTCCAAGCACAGTACGGGGTGGCCTCGTCCAAATGGCCCCTTACCTGCACTCGGCGTTGCCGTCCCGGACCACGCAGATCCCATCGTTCTCACATTTGACGTCTGAACAAAGGTCACTGTTGCCGGAGGTTGGGATTGGCTGCATTTGTGTGGAATTCAGGTGGGATATGTCTGAGGAGGGCAGCGGGAGAACGTGGATGGAAACCACTTTGGGCTTGAACAAGCATTTGATGTGAACGTGGGGCTTGCCTGGGCCTATCTGAGCTCAGAGGGGCTGAGTCCTTGTTACCCACCCTCCAGGAACAGGCCAGGAAACCGAAGCCCAGAAGCTGGGCCGCAGAGGGACTTGCCCAAGGCCACAGGTGTCCTGCTTGGTGAGCAGGTGGTTGGATATTCAGTATGAGACACCAGGTCCCCTTCCGACCAGGGCTCTGTTCTTTGCTGTATTTCCTGCCACTTCTCATCCAAACAAGGTCACACTGAACTGAGGAATATGTGACTTTTTCTGTGCTACATAAAATATTTTCTCCCTCGATCATAGTTATTCCTGAATAATTTTTTCCAAGAAGTATCATCTAGATTTATTCTAATTGACACTGAAATCAAGTCTTCATGGGTTTTAATTGCACCACCTTTCATCACAAACAAGATTCTGGTTTAATGAAATGCAAGTGGGTCTTTAATAGTCAAGGAGTTAAAAATCCTACCACATACAACAAGGAAACCACCAGTATTACTGGGAAATGTATTTAATAGCTGCATGGCTAAGAAATTTTAAAAGACAACATATGGTTATTACTGCCAATATATATAATACATACATGTAAGATAAGATATATATACATGTGTGTGTGTGTGTGTGTGTGCACGCATATACACATTTGAAGGAGACGATAAACATACCCATTTCAGTTTAATTTCATGGCCCTGATGACATTTTTGTTTCTGGAACCCCAGAGTGTAACCCTTGGTTATAATGGCTATACTTTAACTTCTTTCTAAAGAAGTTTCCTGGCCTACAGGTCTCCACCATTGCTCTGGGTAGTGGTCATTAAATTCTTTATCCCAGAACCCTCACTATTTAAATTAAAATTATTATTGTTAATGATTCATACCAAAAAAAAAAAGCAACCCTCACACTTGTCCATTTCCTCCCACATTTAATACACTAAAAATGGAAGGCAGGAGAACATAGAAAATCATCAATGGCTGTAATAGCAACACAAAGAGCTCACACTGAGCTGTGTTCACCCACATACCTTCCATTGTCAGGAGGATATAAACGTCATTTCCTTTTATAAAGTCTCTGCTCTTCAGCCTCTGATAGGTTATAAAGGCGCTGGTCCCATAACCCATGCTTCTGTTAAACTGAGTTCCGTTAGGGAAAAAAGCCACTGCCCCCACTTTGGATGGCCTGTCCCAGAAATAGGTTCCATTATCTGAAAAAGCAAATTATATTGATGGATTGTGTTTAGCACCATGATACTTTTCGTGGTTGGAAAGAACAACGTGGAACACAATTAGGATAGAGCTGAAAATAACGGAACTGAGGCTATTGAGCTGCGGTGTGTTCCCTGGCAAGTCACCGCGGCGCGTTCACTGCTATGTCTTAAAGAAATGCGATTGCCAGGCGGGGAGGTCCTGTGCCGAGCGTGAGTGGGGCGTGCCAGGGCTTCCCCGGGGGCGCCATCCCGTGTGGACTGCCCCCTACCCGTCGGAAGCATCCCTCAGTGGCCTTCTGAGCCAGTGCAGTCCTGTAACTAAGTCAATAAGCTGCGAGGAGCGTTTCTGATATGGCACAGAACGATCTGTCGCGTTAACGGAACTGTGCCCCTGGCAGAGGGGAGTCTGGCAGTGGGGGACGGTGAGAGGGCTGCTCCCAGGGCAAGGCGGGAGCCCGCCCGCCCCTTGCGGCTCCCAGGGCCATTCAGGGAGAAGCGTTTTAGAAGGAAGCGAAGAAATTCTGAACCTCAAGTCCCTACCGTCCTTGTGAATCTATTTTTCCCTAAAAATTAGGTTTTTCCCTATGTCACTCAGACCCATTTTTGAATATGTAGAATTCAGACTTGGCAAAATATTCACTTTGTCATCATTCCATTTCTCCCTTTATCAGGTGCCTAGAGGACAAAAGATTATTCAAGTTAGAAGCGTAATCATGGCTGGTGTGTCCGCCTGCTGCTCCTTTCTGGGCGGGGAGAGATGTGGCCAGGTCTTGGGGCTCTTCAACAGGAAGTCACGACCCCTCCCCACCCCTGCCGGTGCTCCAGAGGACCAGCACCCCGTCCTTCTCCCCACGCAAAGCAGTTGTTACTGGCGACCCCAGGGACTGGCCCCAGGCAGCATGGGTTAGGAGGCCTCTGCGTCCGGGGGCCTGTCCGTACCAGGCCCTGTCCCAGGCTTGCATGCTCCGTCTGTACCAATTCTCACAGCCAGTCTGTGGGGCTATTATGACTGCGCCTGTCCTACTGCTGAGGATACTGGGCCTCCAAGAGATTATTTGCTCAAGGTCACTAGCTAATGAGAAGCAAACCTTGGGTCAGACCCTAAAACAACACTCCTTGTACAGCACCAAGGGTGCAGGAACAGTCAATTCCCAGGAATACAGTCAGCAACTGGCTCTTTGTTGGAGTCCCTGCTGACATTCTTGACAGCCTGCTGCCTGGGAATCTCTGTCCACATCTGCTAAATATCTTCTGTTCCTAAGATCTGGGGCACAAAATCCCAGTACCTCACCATGCGGTCCCTCATTCCCAGATCATCCATCCCTCCCAGGACAACGACTGTGTATCAGCAATAGAGAAAATGAGTCACAAACCAGTGGTCATAAGTGGGTCTGTAGTCACACTCCGCTGGTTGGACATACGCTGCCGGATGTCAGGGTTTTGATCCAAGAGTGTCATCGTGGCTTGTTGCCAAGGACATGGCCACTGCAATTGATCATCATTGGCTCCAGAGATCAAGTGCAAATATATGCCTGCATTAGTCAAATGGCTCAGAGTCAAGTGAATCTGAAAGGCATAGCCTTTAGAAGAATAAAATGGAGGGCTATATAGAATTCCATTTGGGCTGCCAATGAACTGTGTGAAATTCCTTATGTGCCAGACATGGTGAGGGCATCGTGTTTCTGAAAGATTGATGTCATCCATAGACAGGCCACCCTGTGATGCTCCAGGGCCTCTGACCCCTGCAAAGACCACTCGGAATTTGCTGGTCACTTCCAAGGTCACATGGTAAAGCTGCCAGCTTCCAGTGGGTATATCTGCAAAGAAAACATTGTTGCAAAGAAGGCAGAGGTCTATGAATCATGTGTACACTAGAGTTCTAACCCTCAGGGACAAACAACTGTCCTAGAGTCACTGGTGTCACCAGTCTGAGGTTTTTCCCCACTCCTCCAGCCCAGCCCCAGTGACTTCAAAGTATTCTGCGGGGTCAGACTGCCTTCTGGAACATTTGAACGCTTACTTAGTTGTTTATCAGACAGGCCATCCTTCCCCAGAGATGGGTGAGCAAGCGACTGCATGTCACTTAGCACCCCACTCTGTGTTAACTCATCAAGCAAGCCCGATTTTCTGCACTTGTACCCAAGACCCATGTGACACTCAACCAAAGCCCCCTTTAATATATTTACACTTTGAGTGGAACACTTCCCTCACATGCTAAAATTCAGATCAACAAATCTAACAGGATCAACCAGACCCTAAAAATCCCATATCTACATTGTACCTTAGATCATTTAGCAGTGACTCAAGATTATAAACACTTACCTGGTATTCGGTATCACCTCCCCTCTCCTCATCCTGCCTTCCCTTCCTTTGCCCTCCCCTACCCCTGGCTAGCAGCAAAGGCGATACATTTTGTTTTCTTCTGTCACATGCCCAAATAAGAAGCAGTACATTTTTAAAATGTTAGGTGCCCCCTGGTAGAGAACAGCTCGAGAATTCTTGCCAGACTAGTGACTTATGACTTACATATGTCGGGTCTTGGTGTCAAACACAAGTGCTTGAAAATGTTAGAAATATCCAAATTACAGAAAATGCTGTTGTCCATGGGAGCTCCAGATTGAATAAAGACCTTTCAGGAGAACTTCTACTTGATTATTATCAGTACTATCAGCTTAAATTTAAATTGTGCTATTGTCGTGTAAAACACCACAGATTGCTAATGGAAAGGATCAATTTATACATACAGGATATATAAAGATTTTTATACACACACACGTATAACCCAAGTTAAGAACCTCATTTCTGTAGGTGTTCACAAAGGAAAACACCGTCTGTGTTTCAGATTGTTTCTCTCTGTTAAAAATGAGGCAGGGAAAGGGCACAGCACATCATAGATCAATTTTATAAGAACTTTTACTCAATTCATGTAAACCAAGAGGCTCCCACATGCAGCACACAGTGACAGAGTTGCCAGCCCCCAGCCTCTCTCTTCCCCAGGGAACCCCCTTCACCTCCGGTCAGCATGCCCCGCCTGTCTGACATGTGACTGGAACAAAGGGTGGGCACCCGAGCTCACTGTGGCCCTGTCCACTCAGGAGCCCCTCCAGAAATCGCATTTAGCCCACATCATACCATTCTGAATCCTTCACTGGGCTTTCTTCCTTAAAGGAGCAGGTACAGGAAGAGCCCCTTCCCCGGCTGGCAGCACACTGGCATGGCCTCAAGTGGGGTGTGGGCCCACCAGGGGACCAGTTTTGTGGACAAAGCCCATCCAAGGTGACACGAAAGGCCCCCGTGTTCAGGGACAGGGTCAGGCCTGCCTGGGGCCAGATCTGCCCTCGTCCACTGCACATTAACTGCTTTGAGCAGCGACTCTCCCCATTTTGCCTAAGCTAGTTTTTGCTATGTTTTCTTTACTTGCCAAGAACAGACCTCCTCAGGGCCAGAGGCTGCCCTAAGGTCGCAGATTCTAGCACACAAAGGGCCATCATGTTAGCTTCCTCACTCCAGCATAAACCAAGGAGGACCAAATCCTAAGCTGACAAGTAATGAGCCCACAGCCCCTACCCTGACATAGGCTGGTGCGCCGAGAGTGAAGATTGCCTCACGTACGTGCATGGACACTATACCTTTTATTTCTTCCACAAGGGTTAAGGTACCATTCACACTGCCTGCAGAATACTCCCGGATGTAGATGTTCAGCTGGTCATTCTCACTTCCACTATTGTATAAGAAAAGTTGCAGGCACTGAAATCCTCTTTTGGGGTACAGTGTTCTACTTTCCAGGATGGCTATGGCCCCCACACTGACAGAGCTGCTGTCGAAATGCATGAAGAAACCAGAGCCTGTTAGGAAGACAAAAACAGAGTTGAGAGAAAACAGACACAAGATTGAGGAATCTGTGTCTTCTGGGCACAACCGTTCCACTTAGTACCTGTATGCAGAGCACAGTCCCAGGTATTTAAACACAGTCCTTACTACAGATGTCAGTTTCCAAAGTCGGAGCAATATGTCACTCCTGGGCCTGCTTCCCCGCAGCCCTCCCCTCTCCTCCTCCCTCTTTCCCTCCACCCCTCATCCCAGCCTCTGTAGGGCTGATATCCACTGTCCAACTCTGCATTTCAGAAAAAGAAAGGCACCTTTTCATTTAAATCAGACTGTAACCCCTGCCTCAGCCATCCTTTTCTTATTTGGGGTGGGAGGACAGGACAGGTGTTATTTAAGAGAACAAACTGGCCACAAATACTCAATAAGTCCTGGAGATCCAGTGCGTGGAGCAGTGAACACAGAGAACAATACTGCAATTCACCCAACTTGCTAAGAGACTAGATCTTAATTATTCCAACTGCTAAGGAGAAATGGTGATTATGTGATATGATGGAGCTAATTATCACTATAATGGCCAGGCTACTGTAATATATAAATATATCAAATTCACATGCTGTACACCTTACATTAAACGGTGGTATTTGTCAAATATATTTCAAATAAAATTCATTTTCTTTCAAAATGGAGAGTTGGACAGTGGATATCAGCCCTACATAGGCTGGGAGGAGGCGGGGAGGGAAGGAGGGAGGAGGAGAGGTGAGAGTGACGGGGAAGTAGACCAGGGAGCCAGCATTTTGCTCTGACTTTGAAAACTGACATCTGTAATAGGAACTGTATTTAAATACTTAGGACTGTGGCTAATTGCATGCAATGGTCCTGAGTTCTGAAATATAGTTTCACATGTATGTTGCCAAAAATGAGCAAATACATAAAATTTAGTGGTTGTAGCCAAATAAAGGACTGTTTAACTCAAAATTACAATGGAAATGGATACTCATCTGAACACACTTAAATATATAGTACTTTCTGTCTTCCTTTTAAGGATATTGGTAACAGGAGCGTGGACTCACAACCAGCTGAAAATCTGAAACGCCAGAATTCTCAACCTGGCGCTATTTCCCAGAAGGTGCCTTGAATCCTACAAGCTTTGAAAAAGCAAGCCCACCCCTCAGAGATGAGAGTCCACAGCTCGGTGCCCTCCTGCTGTGGGTGTAGACAGGCGGAGGCTTCATGATGAAGAAGAGAAGCAGACAGACGGTGAAAGCAGAAATTAGCCACATTCTTAGAGGGCACAGAACTGATTCTTCAGCAGCAACCTAATGGAGTAACTTTAATAATTCTGATAGAAATGAGAAATAAAATTCCAGCATTTCATAACAGAGGAAAGGACTGGAAGCCCCCAGTGTAAAATCTAGGGGTCTCTCCCTCTGTTACCTGTGCACCGGCCCATGTTGGAGTGATCACTCCCAGGGCCCCCGGGGGCCCAGGAAACCCGCTGCCAGTCAGCACTGTCGCTTGAACTTTGAATCATACCACACACATTTTCCAGTTCAAAATCGCACGAGTCCATAAAGCTCAAGGATGAGGCTGAGAAAGCAAACAGACAGACACACAGTCACCGATCCTCAGCCTGTATGGCACCCTAAGCCGTGAGCATGGAGCTCATCACACAAGTGCCAGGACTCCTCGCTGGCGGCTTGAAGACCTCTTTGTACCTGTGGAACCCAGACACTGATCTAGTCTATAGACTGCAATAAGCTGCCCGCCCCAAGTTCTTATTTAATTATCCGCTTATAGAAAGCTGAGTCCACACTCCTCCGGCACTCCAGGTTATTAAACTACAGACCCAGGTCATTTGATCCCACTTGTGCAATGACCATACCCCTCGTTTTGGCTGAAGAGTGTTGAATGTCGAATTTTCTGCATTTGAATTAATAACAGCTTGAAAAGCCTGTGTGGGGCAGGTTCCTGGAGGATACAATTTGCAATTAGAGCTGAAGACCGGAACTTGTGAGAAGGAAAACCTACTTCTGAGTTGTAGATGGGGATCTGGTGCTATTTTGCTCTTTTTCCCTCAACACCAAACTTCAACTGTCACACTGTAATTATCAAACAATCACCAAACTATACTTTCAGAAAACCCAGCAATGCTCAGCAAACAGCACAGAGCATAGTTTTTTCCTCCAGAGCAGAAACAGAAGTCATTTCAAAGACCCTGACACATACAACAGTTATACAGTTGATTCAGCTTCAAGAGGTCATATTCACTGAAGTCCATTCGCTGGCCAATCACATCCATGAAGTTGGAGATTTTTGTTACAATTGTTGGCTCTGTTCCATTCTGGAATGCAGTTTTACTGTAGTGCATGACCGAGGTGTAATCATAGGGGATGTTCAGGGAGTCTGATACTTGGTCATCATAGGTGTTGAAATTGTGCTCTTTGTCTAAAGGATAAATAAAAGATCTTAGAGATGAAGATTATAATAAACACAAAGCAAGCTTTGTTACAACTGATCTGGGGCACTTCAAGCATGTGCTCTGTATTCCTCTCATAATATAATATTCAAGCTTACAATTGTGATACCAGCAGCCAAGCTCAGCAGAGCTAAGGATCCACTGCAGCCCCAAACTGGACATTAGCATTTGGCATAAGGTTCTAAGAACTGCTAACAGAAAGGAGGATTCTGAAGGCAGGCCATCAGCAGGCTATGCGGGAGGGGCAGGGGCAGCCACATCAGATGCTACGCGGGACTTGGGAAGGTGTGGTGGGAAGGCACCCGGGAATGATAACACAGACAGGAGTCGTTAGAAGAATCGACCGAGCCAAGGATTTCATAGTTACTGGAATGTGTGCAGAGGTATTTAAAATAGATTTATTTAGAGAAGACACCAGGCTGCTTTGCATCCTACTCATGGGCTACTGATTTCAGCTGGGATTCAGATGATGATGTGTGGACAGAGAGGTGGCTCTGATCTCTGAAGCTTATAGATGTGTTACCAAATCTAGGCAGAAGTTTCTACCAAAAATAAGGATTTGGGAGCCCTAAAGAGTGAGGTGTGGAGTCAGGCTACACACTGTTTTTTCTCTAGACACCTTTTACCCAAGCTGAGATCACCAGACCACCTCAACACCACTGAGCTGTGCAGATAAGGTCATGATGTCGGGGGGCCAGCAGCCTCACAGGACCCCCATAATAGCAGGGCCATTCCCTCCTCCACCCCCTGCAAAGGCAGGACAGATGGGGAACAAAGAGTCACTGTGGAGAAAATGCAGAAGATGTGAGCTCTAGCTGCACATGGTCATTAAGGCCTTTCTGACTTGGGACCCAGAGCCACAGAATGTGCAGGCTGTTCACGACAGCAGTGCTGCCACAGAGTCCACAGAGCAATAAACCCAAAACTCAAAAAAAAAAAAAAAAGACCACAATCAAGTCACTTTGGGAAATGCTTGTCTCTTGGAGATGTACAATTCATGTTGATCTAACAAAGGCTTTGAACAGTACAGACATGTAAATAACTGTAAGTTTAAGGTCTGTTAGCCAAGGGTTTCCCCAAACAAATTGGACCACAGATGCCTTTCCACATGGCACCTGTGAGCAGATCGTGGGATATGCTCCATAAATTGTGCTTTGAAAAACTGCGTTTCTAAGGTCGTCCCCAGCTTGGGCGCACCGGGGCTCCCAGACACGGCTGCCCCAACAACCTTCAGGTGCTCATCGCATGTCAGCTGAAGCTGAATGGAGGACACCAGAGTTTTTCCATTATTGACAGAGGCATAGATGGCAGGAGGGGCCTGAATGAATGCTTAGAAATTCATTCTTTAATTTAAAAAGTGGAAGAAAACAAAAGAAAGTACCTGGTTGAATTCTGTCCCAAATTATCCTGACATAGTCATCTCTGTCGGAGCGCGACTGCTCGTGCCAGAAGCCCAGTGCATGGAGGAGCTCGTGCTGAACAGTGGCTATCCTGTCACAGCCGGCCCCGATGGAGAGTTCCTGCCTCCTGACTTGCCTGTTTCCCACTAAAGACCAGCAGCTTGCAGGAGGGTTGGCAGAAGGGGAGGAGGGTGTTATAGTGGTACAGCTAGAGGTCAGGGACAAACCCCCGGTGCCCAGCCCACTCAGCTCTCTCCGCCCTGGCATCTGTCCACTGAACATCCCTCTCATAGCCCAGTGGTGTTTGAAAAACTTCCAGACCAGATGATCTTTGGACAGTGTGCCCTGGCACCAGTACACAGGAGCAGGTCATCTCCATCAGCCTAATCCTAATTTTTCCTGGAAATTTCAGCCTTTCAGATGGTGCTCAGTACACCAATGACTGCTCATAAGGTTTTGTAGGGGCTGAAACCTTTCAGAATTGCTGAGCTCCAGGCAGTAACACTGCCACCTGCTTAACTTAAAGAATCATTAGGTTAAAATAAACTCAAATATACACATGTGCAAACACTCACACATACACACGTGTTTTACTGAAGGAAATAAGGAGAATGTAAACCTGGAATGCTGCAGTTCTCTGAGCTGCAGGACGGATGGCATGCAGCTCACCTTTCCTAACCCAATGGCCTGGTCACACGTGTGGAAATATTAATGTTATTGCTAGACCAGCAGATGGGGTACATCTTTCAACCTCCAGCAAAAGCAAAGGAGCCCCCACGAGTCCTCAAGGTCAGGGTCTGAGGCAATTGCTCTGATGTGTGGGCTGCAGAAGTTCCCAGTAGAGCCCTCAGCAGACACTGCGAAGCTCACCCACTGCCCTTGAAGACTGAGAGGTAGTTAGCTTCTCCAGTCCAAGGCTTGAAGTCGATGCATGTTTTTAGGCGGTAGCGCTCAAATGCATTAAGGATAATTCCCTTAGCATTCATTTCTGAGGGAAAAAACAAGCAAAAACGTTCTTATTAAAGTGATCACCATTGAAAAGTTTCCCACGGAAAATGGGCCCGCACTATATTGTTTATCATGAGCGGTCCCTTCATGAATGTTCAGCGTTTTATGAAATTTAGTATTTAGCACCAATTACATAGCATATGCAAATATTTGATTACTCTTCAGATCCCTGCCTTCGCCCCATATAAACTTCCCTGGAGCCACGAGAGGTGTATTACTGAACAGCACAAACAGTATTTCCTTCCCTCAGAGAACAAGCTCATTGGCTCACAGACAACAAAACGAGCTACCCCCGCCACAGGCCTTGCCTGAGAAGCTGCTGTGGGCACGTGCAGCCTCACAGGGCTGTCTTCCGAGGACCACAAGATCAGGGGTCTGTGCATGTGCTGAATGGTGTGTGAAGATCTATGTGCGTATCTCTGCAAAGTGCATTTGCTCAGGAGAGCCCTCATAAGATTTGAAAGTGAGTTCAGGGCACAAAATGGGGTTAAGAACCATTGCTTTGGAATTAAGAACAGTGCTAAGAGGTGGGTAGATAAGGAGATCAAAGGCAGAGGCCTGAGAGGGACAAAGACACACAGGAAAAAGAGGCAAAGGACAACCTGGGGGAGGGGCTGTATCAGGAACGCTGGCGAGCGGGCTGGGTGCTGGCGAAGGATGGTGGCTGTCAGGGGGTGGCGGGTGGTATGGCCAGGCAGGAAGCACTTGGACTTTGGACCCAGACACACCTAACTTCTCCCCTATCCTAAACACTTACACTGCTGTATAACCTTTGCTAATTCAGTTCACATTTGGGGCTTTACTATTATCATCAGGAAGTTCCAAGTAAAATGAGAGTTTATCTAGGGTCTGTTTCCTTCTCCCCTGCTACGGGACCACCGCACAGACATTCAGCGACCACTCCAAGTGCCTCTGTCTAGAGGCAAGAACAGGACCCACACAGGGAGGCCCTAAAACCCACGGATCTGTGAGATACACTCAGAACTCAATGCCACACACATAACACATGTTTACTGTAAATAAGTTAGAAAATGCATATAAACAAAAAGAAGGAAATTATGAAATCTTACCACCCAAAAATGTTCAACTATCCTTATCATGCTTTTTGCTTATGAATACAGACATACATAACCTACATATATTTTTTTAAATAAAGTTACAATGTACATAATTTATAAACTATTCTTTTCACTAAATATATCATTAAAATCTTTCATCATTAAGTACTGTTTTTATCATTTAATGGCTACATTATATGGCTGTAACACATGTAAGTAACTTCCTGTTGTCAAATATTTGTTTCCAATTTCCCATATGGTAAATAGCACATTTGGATCACTGTTTCAAATCTAACACTTCCTAAAAAAAGGCATAATGATACCCACCCCCACAGGACTGTTTTAGGGCAGAGGGTAGAAGCAGCACCTTCGACCCAAACTTAATGGGGATAGTTTCCAGCCTGCACTGAAGTGCTTAGAGAATCGAATAAGGAAACATAAGTGGAAGTAAAGGCCTACCCTCTGCTGAGATCAGAGCTCCCTTCACCACGTGCCTCTGTTACAGAGGGCCGTAATCACCTTTGCACCATGAATGCAGAAAGGCCCCACCTGGGCTCAGGTTATCTAAATCCCCACGCTCTGGGGGACAGCGCAGTGCCTGGACAAGCCCAGGAGTTAAGCAAGCAGCTGTTTGGGATTATATTCCCCTTGTTAGCACCTTCCGATTCCTAGAGCCTTGACCTTCATTTCTCTCCCTGCCTTTTTTACCTCCATATCTGCCTTCCCCGGACACCTCAGATCTGGCACTTGGGCAAGGAATTATAACTTACCCACGGGAAGCCTGCCCTTAGACATAGGGCAATCATAACCTGTCAGGAGCTAAATTATGCAGGTCTGGGAAACTGGGCCGATTTGGTTATTATTCTAAAGCAATAGGAAGCTGCTGAAGAGTCTCAAGCCAGGAAATGAAAGGGTGAACTTGCCTATTAAAGACCACACTGCTGTTGGGGGTGGGAACAGTGACAGGGTGGGAAAGATTATGAGAGAACAATATTTGAAATAGAGACAAATTAGGAGAAAAGTAGATTCTCTGGGGCATAGGTTAGAGATGGAAATGATAGAACTTGCTAACACACAGTTCTGGAGGGCTGAGGTGTGCACTGACCCAAGCTGTCTTCCAGAACATAGGGAATGGTATGAGGCCATCTGTATTTCTCTCCAATTATGGAATTTCTATTTTGTGCCTGTCAAAAATAAATGTGAATGCATTAATTAAATAAGTCATGGAAAACTCATGAAACAATCAGTGGTTAATCTAGAAATAAACTAAGTTTAAAGCTCTCCCAGCCAGCCTAAACAAATTACATGCATGTGTGTATACTTTTATCATATTATATCTTTATCACACTATCATACTATACTTTTATCATATCATATTATAATATAGTATGTCAAAATAATATCATATTATAACAAAGTTTCCAGGAGGAAATCACTAATTTCTATTATTAATTTTGTTGATAAAGTTGATGAAGGCATCTTGCAAAATCATGTAAAAAAATGATTGTAGGGAAACTAAATATAAACACTGACAGATTTATAGGCCAATTACCTATACTAGAGATTAAAAATATACAAGAAAGTGATCATCAGTAATCTTGGTCTTACAATACCAGAAAAAGCTACATGTGAGTTAAGCCAAAGTTTCTAAAATATTTAAAGGATTTGAAATTTTTATAGTAGAAACCTAATACTCCTTAATGTACTCATCCTGTCAACAAAATGAACACTGTTCAAGAGCAGAGAGGCCCACCGGTAACAAAGTGACCAGGGTCTAGTGGAGGACAACCAGTATGTGAGAAAACAAACGGGTTTCAACAGGAAAATGTAAAAGCAGAGGAACAAAAAGGGAGGGTGGCAAGGGGAGAGGCAGGAGGGGGTTGGGCAGGACCCTCGAAAGATGGCCTTTCAGGTGAACTGGGAATGAAAAGAGTGAGCCAGGGTGGAAGGCTCCTCAGGAAGATCTTGGACAGAGACAGATGGGGGTTTCTCTGGTCTGGAGGTGGGAACAAGCTTGGTGTGTTCTGAGCCTGTCCTGAGGTCAGTAGCCTATTGAGTCAGTAAAGGAAAGGGATGAGAAAAGAGAAAAGGAGAGGAGAGATAGGTGGGAGCTAAATTCTGCAGGTCAGGAAAGCTGAGGGTCCCCCTTGACCCCCCACCCCAGACACTGCCCTAAATGCAGTGGGGAGCTGCTGAAGAATTTCAGGCCGGGAAGTGAAAGGGGGTCCTTGCCTGTTAGAAGGGCTGCTTGTCTATGGGGTGGGGACAGTGACAGGGTGGAAAAGATTATAGGAGAACCATATTTAAAATGAGACAAATTAGGAGAAAAGTGGATTCTCTAGGATATGGGTTAGAGATAGAAATGATAGAACTTGCCAGTGGGTGGGATGCTGGGATGAGCAAGAGGGAGACAGCACAGGGCACTCCCGGATCTTCCGTTTACTTGGTGGAGTCGGGGAGGGACGGTGATGACTTTACAGAGAGGGCAGACTGGGGAGGATGGTGTGTGTGGACATCTGCTCAGTTCAGGACCTTCTGTTTCAGGGTCCCACCGACATTTAAAGGCGAGTGGCAAATTGGCACCTGGATAGGCCACCTGGAGCCCAGCAGGAGGGGTGGACTCAAGTTATGCATTTGTAGTCATCAGCACAGAGCAACACTTAAAGCCCTGGCACAAGGTGAGACCAAGGAGAGAAGAGCAGGCCCAGGTTGGAGCCTCGGACATGCAGCTCTGGTCCTGAGCCCAAGGTGGAGTGGAGGGATGTTGGTAGTGTTTGACGGTGAACATCAAGCCCCCTTAAACCCCACTAAGGCACCTAAGTTCATGTGTGTGCCTGTAGGCTAGGCACAGGCAGGACTGTCTGCACAGCCCCAGGCAGCACTAGGTTTTAGCCGTAAGGGTGGAGGTCACAAATCTGTGTCTTATGATAAAGTCTCATTTGTGGAAGATGTTTAAAATTCAGTTTAACTTTGCTTCATCTAGACTGAATCAGTGAGTTTCTATTTACACATGGAAACATCACGTTTTCCCAATAATGGCAATCAATCAGATCAGCAAGACCAAAGCATACATGGTGAGCGGTGGTGGCTCTAACACACTGAGATCTGCTTGGTGAGTGGTGGTGGCTCTAACACACTGAGATCTGCGTGATGGTGATGAAGGTGCTGCACGTGAGTTCCTGAGGCCCTAGTGTGTCACCGAGGTCCTGTGCCCTTCGAGGGAGCTGGGTCTAACAGAGCCCAGGCTTCCAACCATCCTCAGACTCTGTTTCAGCTTTGTGGAGACAAGCAGGAGGGTTCCAACTGACCCTATCAAGTCTGATGTCTCCCTCGAAAAGATCCAGTCCGAAATCTAGGAGGGAAGATAGAAATTCATGTTAGCAAACTGGACTCAAGCTCCTCACTTAATAAAAAATGTAAAAAAAGGAAAATTCACAGACCTTCATTGATGTCAAATATATCCTGGTCAAGTCCACCATCTACATCTTTCAAGTAGCAAAGAAAAGCACATTAGACATTGCTCTTATGAAAGAAGGAAATCTTTCTCATTTACCAAATAAAAATAAATAAAAGGTTCTTTTGCCTCGGATAAGTGACTATGAGATTCTGATATATATTGATTGATGAGAACCTCTCCTGAGCCAGGCTTGGGCCCAAGGGGCTTTTGCATCTATACTCTTGCTCTGTCTATGCCCCTTGAATGCCAAATTACTTCAGAAATAAGAAATTGGCCACTCTGTATAATATTAAGCTTAATTTGGAAGAGTACAATAGGTGATTTGATAAAGCAGGAAGCAAATGTTTAAATATGGTCAAACCAGTCCAGTCTACCCATATATGTATATCCTTTGCTAGTAGCATACCTTGGAACTCCCAAGCAAAATTACTAATTTAAATTACACTTTTAAGTTGTAAAGGAGTGGATAATATGGCCAAATCACTAAGTAAACAACTAAGTAGGATAGACATCTAGTCCGTCTAATTGGACACAAAATAGCAAAAACAATAATAGCAAGCATTTATGGAATGTCCATGTGCAAGTCACTGTGTTTGGACTTTCCTATACCATCATCTATTTTTCTGCTGAGTGTGTGGAGCCCTGGAGCAGGAACAGTAAAGCATTCCTCAGTAAATCAAGAGAAGCCAACGTCTGATCAAAGGTCAGTGCACTTCTGCAACATGTTGGATGGTCAGTGTGTCCTAAGCCCTCATCCTGCTGTTCTGCCATCCCTGTAACTTTCTTTTACTATAACTTAGAGCAAAACTCAAAGTAGACTCACCGAAGTTTTCTGGAGTTGGCTGGGAAGCAAACACATAAGAAAGATATTATTAGGATGCCCAAGACATAAATGGCCTTCTTGGCTCCAATTTGTATCTAGCCACTTGTGGATTTTTTTCTCACTGTGCCATGCATTACTCTCTGGCACACATCCCAGACAGCTGGATCTAAGATGACCTTCTGACCAAAGGGTCTTCCCATGTCATATAAAAGAAAAAAAAATCAAACTGCCTGTTATGTGAATTTGAAGTGCAAGAAATAAGAAACTAATTTCACAGATTGAAAAGAAGGCAAACCTAACTCCAGCCCTAAAAGACATGTTCACTTTAAACATGATTTTCTAAAGAATTCATGGAGCAATATTTGAAAAACCTAATAATTTATTCCCAATGTTGAATATTATTGTAATTTGTAACACTGAGGTCTCATTTACCATGGTTTACTTTCATATTCCTCTCAAGACTGCCTTCAAAGACAACACCAAATGTTGAAGAAAAAAATCAATGGGTATACTTTGCAATTAAGAAAGATACCTTCTGAAAATAAGCTCTTTGTAAGTGACCAAATGAAACCCAGACCACATGCTCAGTGGGAGAAATTAGGTAAACCTGAGCTGTTTCAGAGTGTTGTGTACTAAAAAAGTTTATGGACTGGTAAACAGTAGGTCTGGCTTATATTCCTGGTTCTACCAATGGTCAAGTCAGTTCACCCTGACAGTCAGACTGTCTGTGAAGGCGGCGGAGCCTGCTTCAGTGTGGGTATTGCAGAGGTCATATGATGTGTTGTGAAAGCACTTTGTAAACTGTAATTAAATGTCACACAATGTAAGGTCCAGTTTATTTGAATGCAGCTTAAATATCTAAACACTAGAATCTTTTCAAATGTATGGCAAGCAGTGAGGATGAGCTGACTGGATGGTCACCCTCCTTCGTATATTAATATACATAAGCGCCTTGCTTGTGCCACACTGTAGCCACACTGGCATACACAGAGAAATGCCAGTGCACCTACTGCAAAAGGACATCAACTATTTGTTCATAATTATGGTTTTAATCTGACTTAAATGGTGTTCTCACTGTGTATGGTGTATCTGGTTCTTCTTTTGTTCTCATTGCTGCAGTTCCTGCTCAGGATGTTAACAGGTTAACGGCAGCTCAGTAACATATCTGCTCAACACAATAACGGTTACTCCAAAATCACAACGAAAGCCATTTGAACCGTCATTCCAAACCTTGCGTTGGTTTGTGGTGCAAACTCCCTGTCACTGTAGAAAAATGGTAAACTGATGAAGAAGCAGAGGAGAAATTTACAAACTTTCCAAACATTTGCTGTGCTCCAGCTCCTGGCTCACGTCGCTGTCACAGCAATACGACTTTCATTCAGGAGTAAAAATGGAATGACTTTCAAATTTCCCATTTTCTATCTTATCAAAAGAAAACTCATCAGACACAATGAAACCAAAAGAAAAGCATAACTTCATAGCCATGTCCCGACATTTCTCCGGGGCCTCCTCCCTCCGCTCTGCTGACCCCGCTCTCCAAAAAGCAGCATTCATTTCATCAGCTCTTGGAATTCTTTAAAAGGTTGTTCCTTAGCAGTCAGGATCAACCGCCCCCAATTTTTTTCTAAGCATCGTTTCCTTACCAAGCCAGAAGCCACGCGAAGCGCCGCTAAGAGCAGCAGCCAGGGCGGCCGCTGCGCACGCATGCCGTCCCTTCCGTCAGGGGTGCAGCCCATGCAATTCCGAGGAGCGTTTACTTTTTAAAAGGCAAACATCATAACTTATAGCCTTTGAACAAAATGATCCATCTTGCAGGTCAGCTCGCTGCCTAGCAATCTCTCCAATCAAGGAGCTAAAGTCCAGGATCCTCCGCACAGCTCTAGAGACGTCAGTCGGTTTTTTTTTTCCTAGGTCAGCATTCAATAACCAAGTGCCTGGCTGACACCTGTTGATGGAGTAAGTTTTCTAACTGGTCCCTAGATTATTAAATGCCACTTGAGCAAAAGAAAACATCAAATTATTTTTTAATTTCAGTCTTTCAAAGAGTACACATTGGTGAAGCCCCTCCTGCTCATCCAGCCCTATGCTGCTTTAATATATCCAGCTGTGTGGATGCCTTTTATTCATTCATTTAATAAAAATGTATTGAGTTACAGAGTCCACAGTATGCCTAGAAATCTGGCATATCTGATGATCAGACAGAAAGGAACAGAACACTTGGAACATACCGCACTCCTGCCAGTTCCCTCTGAGCAAACCCAGGTGGGAGTAAGAGAAGGAGGCTAGGAATGGTGGCTGGTTTTCTGGCGAACCGGCACCCCCAGGCCAGCTCTCCATGCTTCCTCACTTCCCCCCTCTTTTCCTGAGATGACTGTCCTTGAGAGACAACCTACTCCCTCATTCAGGTCCCACAGTTCCTCCCCCAACTGCAGTGAGACGCAGATAGTGTTTCTGAAATATCAGTTTTTCCCCTCAGTATTTCCTTCCCCGCTCGAGACTGGTCTTTGCCCCATTCCGTGCTAATAGAAAGGATATGAAAAGACGGGTAGCATAAACACAGGTCACATGAGGCTGCTTCGCGAATACAGGCCAGTCATTCCCACCCTCTGGGGACAGGACATGAATTAAAAGGGCAAGTTAAAAACGGTAGGTCTGACCAAGTATTAACCAATCACTGAAATATTTTGCCAGCCTGATAGGTAAAAAATGTTGTCCCGTTATTTGCATTTCCCCTACTACTAGCAAGGTAAAGGAATATTTCCACGTCCGTCAGCTGTTTGCTCGTGGTGTTAAGGGCCTTGTGGGTCTTACCTTTCATCCATTTCCCAATTGAATTGCTGGCTTCGTATTATTGAATTATATAGTCTGGACAGAAATCTTTGTTACATGTGTGGGAAACTTTCTGCAGACCTTTGCTTATTTTTAATCTTTGCTTATGGGATCTTTTTAGATAGAGATGTTTTAAATATTCATGTATTCAAGTTTATTGATTGTTTCTTTTATGGCTTTTGCATGTTGAATCTTACATAACAAGGCCTTTCCATTCCAAAATTAGAAATGCTGGTCTGTTTCCTTGTGATATTTTAGAATTTTTTAGGCTCAGCTCTTTAATCTTCTGGATTTTTTTTTTGGTAATTAAATATTCTAACAATGAAAAGCATGTTTAAAAGTAGGTCTGGCCAGTTCCTTACTTGCTCCCTGGGATCTGCAGGTGGTTTTGGGACCCAAACCCCAATGGGCCTGTTCCCTAGTGGGGCTACGAGGACAGACAGGGCCCTGCTAAACGACAGTAAGACTGACTCCTGGGAGGCCAAGGGCCACAGGGGCTCAGAGAAAGCCGGCAGGCCTCAAGGGCCATGGGAATAGGAATGTGAATCACCTCTGTAGCAAGCTGCTTGAGAGGTCAGACAAGCCCCAGATAGGACGGCTGTTCCAGGGGCCGCCTGAGAGGATGGCTGACTGCAGGGCTAGATGGGGCCCTGGGCTACTAACCTTTGGCACAAGTCCAAGGGTAAAAGATGGGAATCTGAAGGGGCTGCTGTTCAGTTTCTCCCATGTGTGTGGCAGGGACCCAAACTAACTACAGTTACAGAAAAATTCAGGTATTTATTATGCACATCTGCTTTTTGAGCTGAGATGTGTAACTGAGACCCTTGATTGCATTCTGTGTTGGAACAGGAAGCTCACACAGAAAGTCTGGAAATAGAGAGCAGGGAGGTGGGAAACGAGAGTTCCTGGACTCATGGAGTCTGCCGTGGATCTTAATTAGAGCACGTGGACAACCTCGGACCGTCACTGAGGGGTGGCTGAAACCCAGCTCCAATACGTGTTTTGACTACAGTTAAGTAATATCTTCATATTTCACTCTTCACACTTGCCTGGTCTAACACACCTGCAGCCGGAGTCCAGGCCTCAGGGAGGCTCTGAGAGCCCCTGGAACCATCAGGGAAACACACTTCTCTGAGAAGCATGACTCACAGGGTCCTCGTGGAATATGAGTATATCCTAGATCCAAGGGTGGCAGACAGTGAGTGTAAAAAGCTTTCTAGCAGGAAACGATGCAGAGACACAACAAAAGGTCCAAAAACCTTCATACTTTCTTCTTGTAATGCCTGTTCCTTCACCTGATTCTCCATCACCCCCCACTACCAAAAAAAAGCTTTTGTAAGTTATTTCATGAGTGTCACAATATAAGCTCCTCATGAAATCCTACAACCACATCTATAACATATTGGGGAAGTATGTATATTTTAATTTGAATTAAATTAAGTGGATCTAGGAAAAAGGGAAAGAATGGGGGTGTGATGACTGAAGGAGTCCCTGGGTAGCAAGGAGAGCACACGCCTAATAGGAGCCCCGCTGGCTAAAGGAGAGGAGAGGTCGCGACATCCACCTCCCCTGGGGTTAAGTGGGCTGGACCACATTCTTCTCACACATCTCCTAAGCTTCCCCGAATGACTGTCTCTTGGCCTGCCTCTTAGCCCACTTTCCAAAGTTGTGGTAAGTTACTGTATTAGTCAGGGTTCTGCAGAGAAGCAAAACCAACAGGGTACATGCAGAGATGGAGAGACTTATTTTAAGGAATTGGCTCACATAATGTGGAGGCTGGCAAGTCCAATATCTGTAGGGCAGCCCAGCAGGCAGGGGGCTGAGAGAAGAGCACACAGGCTCCTGAGGGCAGAATCCCGCCTCTTCTGCGGACCTCGGTCTTTCTTTCAGGGCCTTGGGCTAGTTGGACAAGGCCCACCCACATTAAGAAGGATAATCTGCTTTACCCAGAGTACTGATTTTAATATCCACAGATGTTAACATCATCTAAAAATACCCTCACAGTGACAATTAGACTGGCATCTGACCAAATATCTGGACACTGTGGCCCAGCCACGCTGACATAGAAAATGAACCACCACAGTTCCCTTGTCGCTTCTCCCACTTGACAGACTCTTCACCATCACCCATTCCTGGGGCCACACTGGGGGTGGCTATCGTTGCCACTGTGGGTAAGACTGCACTATTTCCAGAATCACTCGCCTGGCCTCAGTACATCTCCATATCAATAGGTGATTTACAAGGGGGAGCAAGGGCATATCTGGACTGAAGACATTGGGTGAAGCCTCTTCTGCAGCTGGGTTGCTAGACACACAGGGAGCAGAAGCAGACTGCTTGTAAGAAATTAATGGGTTTCTCCCACTTTATTTCTCCCTTTGCCAGATTTTGGTTTCAAAGGTATTTTGCCCCGGAATTTTCCCCTGAAGTTACTACCACTTAATACAATCGCCTTGACTGTCAGCCCTCCCCCTCTGGCTGAAGACAACGAAGCCATCTATTGTGGTTCTTGTCCAACATGAGTGACAGTACAGTCATATCTTTGATACCAGAAAACTATCAAAGGACCAGGAGTAAATCATATTTTGAGATGCCAACTGGCTGGGGCAGTTAGAAACACTTCTGTTCCTCCAGAGGACAATCCTACTTCATATGCTGAGAGTGGCTTTATTTAGGGAGCTATTATGCTGGGAGCAAGCCCAAACAAAAACCAGTGGGAAAGAAATTGCTACAGTACAGTGAGACAAAGCTTCCCCCACCACTGCAGGAGGATTGCCTAGTGGCCTGTTAAGTTTGGGAACCCTAATCTAGCTCAGCCAGCTTGGTGCTGTTAAGAAGCCACCCCAAATTATAACAGGTCTAGAGTGGGCATCCATTGACTCTGGAGTAGAAATAGTGACATCTGAGGTTGCTCTTAAACTCATTCCTTGTATGTCTGCTTCATGGGGCTGTTCAAGAGTTTTAACTCCCTTAAACTCACGTCCACTTACTGCCCTGTACTGCCTGCAAACCCTGGAGGAAGGGAGTCAGCACTTCTCTGCTCTGCTTGCACTTCCGTGTGGCACTCATTACCCAAGATTCTAGTTATTTGTATGTGAATCTGCCTCTCCCAGGTAATTAACTGGAAACCAGCCTCACTGAAATTTGTCTAACTCAGTATATGGCACTTAATATGTGCTCGGCAAACATTCATTGAATGAAATGGGAATGAACTGTTGAAAATCAGTGTCTGTCTGTGAATTGCTTTTATGCACTATCTCATCGCCACTGGCACATAAAATTATTCTAGAGGCCAATAAAGTCACGTTTTGTCCTGCATATTTTTGTCCAGCAAAAATTAATGGAGGTGTCCCCTCTTTTTGAAGGTTTGTCTTAAGCTACTTTGCTTTCAGGAAGGACCTACATCGGTGCTTGTTATTACTACCACAAAAAAATCCGAAGAGGACTTTCACTTTTACAAAAAAAAGGCAAAAGGCCAAAAGCACTCAGTGTTCCGTTTGCAGGAGCCGTAAGTGAGGCAGCTCGCCTCCGGCGACAGGAACGGCGCCGCCTAGCTCCTTCTCCGGGAACTGCACCCAGCGTCCGGCCCTGTAATTCTGAGCGGGTCTTGGGAGCATCTGCGCCTTCTCTCTGCTCATTTTCTGCACCCGTTCACAAGCTGTATCCTAAGGCATCAAAAAAGCCTAAGAGGGGTTATTTTTTGGGTCTGGGACTGCTAGAAAATGTTCCATGTAAATTAATGATAATCGTCTCTTCACTTTATGCCATGTCAGCTTATGAAAGTTTTTATAGGAAGGCTCTACTTTTGGATAGCAGGGGAAACTGTATTTCCCACTGGGCTTTGTCTGATACACTATTACGGGTTTCCTGGGCACTGCTCCATGATTTGGGTGGGCTAAACCAGACTTACATGCACAGTGACAAGGTGTACTTCCAGACAGTGGGATTCGGTGATTTTTAAAAGACCACGAAGTCAATTTTTTTTTTTATTACAATGGTACCA